GGAAAGGTGAAAATGCTCAGGGGTGTTGCTGTGGTGCAGCGCAGCGCTGCTGGAAGGAGACGCCTCAGAGCCCCAGGAGAGAGGAGTCGGGGCCTCCGACACATTCGTTTTCTGAGGGTCCGGTTGTCTCACCAAAATGACCCAAAATCCCTTGGGGAAACTTGAAGGACAGCAAATTGCAGCGACTCGCCCCAAAGCGAAGCGCCGTGGGGTGGATCTCGGGCGGCGCTGCTGGCTGGGCTCATAGCACCCCACGGAGAATCCGCGGGCCTCAGTGGGAAGAGCGACGTGGCTTATCGCTCAGAGCTCGCGTTGCAACACCGAGCGTCGATGTCCCGGCTGGTTGTGAAAGATAGGGACGTTATCTGCCGAGCGGGGCATGTGCCACGTGTGTGTGGCAGCCAGCGCTGGCCGATCCGCGGGCAGGTCCCAGCGGCATGCGCTGCCTCCCAGATAACTCCTCCGGGAGCGCAGCGGCGGTCGGAGCCTGGGATGGGTTTGGGCGCTTGATTACGAAGCGGGAGCCCGTTCTCCGAAAGGGCTAATCAGGGAAGCACAGGATTAACTTGTTGCTTCATCCCAGCTGCTTCGCACCCCTACGCTTCCCGCTGCGGGGCTCTTGTTTACGTGTGCTGCGTCCCCGGTCCCGCTGGCTCCCAGCGGCGTGTGCCGGGGAGAGCTGCTCTGCAACAAGCAGCCATCGTTGGGGCTGTCCGCTTTCAAAATGCTGCGGAGTAGTGAAGGCACTAATCCTAGCGCTACGCTGGGATCACAGTACGGGAGACTCCGACGAGGGCAGAGCTTGTCAGCGACTGTTGGGCTTTCACCTCCGCGCAAGGTTTACCAGAGTCAACGTGCAGCTCACCTGCCTTGCCCTTCCTGGCCAGGCCTGCCAGGGGATGCGGGGGTGAAGGTACAAAGTCACAGGAAATACGGGGATGTCGATAGTTTGTATCGTGAATTGCTTTAAAAAAAACAACCGAGGGAGTCTTGTCTTCACGCTGAGGGTGCAGCGCAGGTTCAGGTCCTTGCGCACGCTGGAGCGTCCCTGGCGTGAAACATCTCGTTAGCCATGTCAGTGTTGACACTCGTGGCAGGGAGAGCTTCCCTGGCGTGGGCAGGCCCGAACACGCAGCTTTTGCCCTGCTGCTGCTGGGACTGGGAGCGGCTGTACGAGGGCCCGCTGCGGGCTGGGCGCGGAGCGGCTGTGCGTAAAATCGGGGTGTCCCTCCTGACCCTGCGCCCATCTCCTCTCCCTGCAGGTCAGCGACGAGATGGTGGTGGAGCTGATTGAGAACAACCTCGACTCCCCTCCCTGCAAGAACGGCTTCCTCCTGGACGGCTTCCCACGCACGGTGAAGCAGGCCGAGATGGTACGTGAGCTCCCGTTTGGGGGCTGCTCTGGCATCTCCTTCCCTGGAGACAGGGGTCCCTTGGCTGTGCCCCCGCCCCTCTGAGTTGGGTGTTTCCTGTTGCAGCTGGATGAGCTCCTGGAGAAGAGGAGAGAGAAGCTGGACTCCGTCATTGAGTTTAGCATCCCTGACTCCTTGCTTATCCGCAGGATCACTGGACGGTAATTCTCTCCGGAACACTCAGTGCACGGGGTTGGGGTATCCTGGTTTAGGGATAGCGTCCCGATGTGGACCCTCGTGTCATTCTCAGTGTTGGGGCTCCCTGCGGCGCTGGTCTGTGTTTGATTTCGGCTCTGCTCAAGCCCTCCTGCCCCGGTCCTTCGCCCGCTCTCCCACGCCGGGCCAGCCCTGAGCAGAGCCCCTTCGCTGCCCTGTAAACAGGGGCTGCTGACAGGAATCCGCCTCCTTGGCGACCCAGCTCAGCCCGGTGTCTGACAGCTCTTGCTTCCCTGGAGCCGTGACGGTTCCCTGGAGCCGTGACAGCTCCTTGATGCGGGCCCTTAGCGCGTGTTCGGGCAGCGCTGAACGTCCTGTCTGGGGTGGTGCTGGCACGCGGACGTCTCTCGCTGCTGCCCCGGGAGCCAGCCCCCTTCCCCAGGGCGGCATAAAGCACAAAACCCTTCTCCAT